TGAACAATTTGAGAAAATCTAATTGTGACTTTTTCTCAGAGCAATATTGCAATTATTGCAATTTTTTAAATTTCCTCTTCTTTTGTATACACTGCTTTCAAGTTATAAGTGATAGTAAGGAGACAAACCCAATATCCCTATACAAGACAGGTGTTGCTTAGGGTTTCTACCTCCAGTGTGAAAAAATAAGGGACAACTTTCCCCTACTCCATAGCTATAACAATACATGGCATGGAAACACCTACACATACAGTAGGTCTGCACAATTGTGGTAAAAATGAAGGGGTGTGCTGGATTTATAACACAAGACCAGATGAGGACATCCTAGTGAATCAGAGAGCAGCACAATGATAATTTTATCTTGATTATTTTGTTTTCATAATCGTTTGAAGCAAAAATTGTAATTGAAGTTATCATTGAAAATAAAACTTAAATACAAAATAAAATTTGATTAATCACCCAGCCCTGCCTACCTTATGTTATAGTCTAATTGTTGTAGTAGCCCGTTGTATCAGCGTAGATGTGTTGGTCAGTGCCTGGCAAAGCTCATGTAAGTAGGTCAAATCTAGTGAATAGTTAATTTCCCTCTATTAACTTCTCATGTAGAATGTGACATTTTAATAATTTCCTTTTCATCTCATGAGTCTTCTGCATATCCTCTCATTAAAGTCGATACTGCCAAGGGCATGTGCTCTTTATTTATTTTTATTTTATTTTATCTTTTACAGTGAAGCCTCGATATTGACCCAGTGGGACATCTAGAGAAAGTCACTATGCCCAGCTAACACCCAGCTGTTGTCCTCCAGAGTTTCCTGCCTGTTACTGATATACTTGTTCCACCATTTAAGACTGTCAGTCTGCTTCTGTACTACATGACACGGTGATATGTTTTTCCTTTCTCTTTAGCTCACAGCATTGTTTTATACAGGGTCTGGGTCCTGTTAATGCACAGAGACATGTTTTGTCATGGCAGGGTTATAAATTGTCATGCAGGCCTCTGAATGCTGAAGACATAGACCACCGGATTTCTGATTTCACAAGAATACCCTAGAGTCCAAATCTCGTCTCTACAGCTCTAATGACCTGCTTTTTGTTGTTGTGGTTGTATTTTGCATTCAGGATGTGAAGAAAAGGCCTTTGTACTAACAAAATAAATATCTTATTTGAATTTAGACAGGGTGATGTCATGTGAGCAAATAAAAATCCATTCACCTCCATTGTACTGGGGTGATGGCAGAATTGTCAGAAGCTGATAACTTGAAACATCACTAAATAGAAGCTAAGCTACTGCTTGGTTATACATTTGTGTTCAAAATAATAGCAGCGTGTTTTAAAAAAGTGAGTAAAGCTTATAATATAAGTAAATCCTTATAATAGCTTTTATTTCCATACACGCAAATGCATTGGGAACACTGCACATTCTATTCCAAATCAAAACATGAAGTATGTATGTTGTATCAAATTTATTACTTTACAGAAAGTGAAGTAAAAGGAATATTAGGCTGTTCAAAAAAATAGCATTCTGCATTTTTCTTTAGACTCAAACATTTACTCTATAAACTGAAAAATGCTTGAAGATTTAGCTTTCCTGTGAATCACTGAACTAATATTTAGTTGTATAACCACTATTTCTGAGAACTGCTTCACATACGTGGTGCATGGAGTTGACCAACTTCTGGCACCTGTGGACAGGTATTCCATCCCAGGATGATTGCACTACATTCCACAATTCCTCTGCATTTCATGGCTTTGCCTCAGAAACAGCATTTTAGATGTCAACCCACAAGTTTTCTATTGGATTAAGGTAATCTTGTTGGTCTGGAACCAAGATGCTGCTCGCTTACTGATGTGTTTGGGGTCGTTGTCTTGTTGAAACATCCATTTCAAGGGCATTTCTTCTTTGGCATAAGGCAACATAACCTTTTCAAGTATTTTGACGTATTCAAACTGATCCATGATCCCTGGTATGCGATAAATAGGCCCAATACCATAGTATGAGAAACATCCCCATATCATGATGCTTACGCCACCGTGTTCAGTGTACTGTGGCTTGAATTCAGTGTTTGGGGGTCATCTGACAAACCGTCTTCTAATTGTTACAGTACTCACAGGTAACTTTAGACCTTCTTTAATCACCCTGGAACTGATTTATTTGCTGAGTCTCTGCCATTTTGGCTATTCTTCAATCCATTCGAATGGTAGTTTTCCATTTTCTTCCATGTCTTTCTGGGTTTGGTTGCCATTTTAAAGCATTTGAGATCATTTTAGCTGAGCAGCCTAGCGACCTATCATTTCCTGCACCTCATAATACACATGTTTTCCCCTCTCCAATTCAACTTTTTAATCAAAGTACTCTATTCTCCTGAACAATGTCTGGAACGACCCATTTTACTCAGATTTTCAGAGAGAAATGCACTATAATCAGCATGTACAACATTTGCTGCCTCCTTAAATAAGGGCCACCTGTTTGACATTAAAGAATGCTTATCAGACAGAGATCAGGCACACGGTAGAAATAAATATATACAGTACATAGTAACAGATCTAATGAATCTTTGATTAAATAACACTGAAACAGCAGCTGTGGCTTTCAAAGTGTTTTTTTTTCCCACAAACTACTAGGTTCAAATACTGGAGGTCCTGGTTCGAAATTCTAAAATTGATGTGCATACAGTATTGATAAATGATATCAAATTACAAACTGCTGGAGAGAAGACATATCGCTCTGCTGGAGTTGACAACAACAGTAACAGCTTTCAGAATTAGCATCAGATTCGCAACAGCCGATATTACCTGCTGCTGCTGCCGTGATTTGTCATTTTAACCAGAGAAAGTGAAGCTGTGCATGCTGCTCATCCAGGTATCTCAACCTCTGGTCACTCACCCGTGCACCCAAATATTTTTTCATATTTACACACTATGCATCAAACGCTGCCCTGTAGAATCTGACTGCCATAAAGGTGCAGCACTTGGTGGCTGACCATGGTGGCTGGCTGACAATGTAAATTTTAACTGGTACTGTACTTGTCTAGTGTCCTGTACAGGTTGAAAATGAAACCCAGACAACACAGTACTGGTTTTTGTCTGTTTAAGTGTTACCCTCCTCTCTGATGGTCCTCAGCTTCCATGGGAAAGACACTAATGACACAATTTCTGTTTTTAGTCCTATGCCCTACTTTCCTCCTTATGGCACCATATTCTGTGTGCATTGGGAGGACAAGGACACTACCACACATAGAACATGACTAAGTAAAGATTTTAATCTTCTTTTTAAAGAGACATCTTTGTTGCAAGTCCACCATCATAATGATCAAAACCGATTTATTCAAATGAGATTATTTACTCTCACTAAAGAGTAAGTTATTGATTGTTCATTATGTAGGCGTTATGTATTTTGGACAGAGCCTATGTTATTTTGTTAAGCATATTTTTTTTAAAATTCAAGTTTTCTTTAAAAGTGAGCTTTTAATCAACCAACCAGCAGTGTAAAAGTGTGGAGTTCTATCTTACTGTGAAAAAATGGTGCTATAGTACTTCAGTTTAGACAACAAATGAGAAGTTGCAGCCAGAAAAAGATGAGGAAGGGGAAAAACACTAAGATGAATGCTTCAGTAGAATGTTCTTTTTGTTGTCTTCGGTCTAGCTTCTAGTTCAGAATTAACCATGATTAATTGCCTCACCTGGACAACTCAAGGCCTGAGCCCCTCCCAACTAAACACTAGTTCATCTTTAAGCTGTTGTGTAAATGTATAGTGCTGCTTTATATGAAAAGAAGCTCAGATGCCAAGTGTAGCCTGAAGATTTTGCCTCTGAGTGATAACCAACCACTTAACTCAGAGAATTGCCTGTCACAATGGAAACGTTTTCTGTGATTTAAGGTGGACACACAGTCAAGGACACACTGACTTCAGAGCGATCGCAAATCTTTTCTTTTGAGGGCACAAAGACTAGATTACAGGTCTCCATAGTGACAGATGCTTTGTGTATTCTAAATCAAACCTTGAAAGGTGAAGAAGAACTTGGGTACAGGAGCAATTTCAAGGGTAATTCTTGTCTATCACAGCTTTTTTCAGAGTAACAATAAAGGTATTTTACAAAATGTTAATTATTTCTTTAATAACTTTGAAGAAAGCACTAAACCTTGTGGGGGGAAAAAAAGAAAAGCGGCACCACAGGAATTTGCACGTTTGGACTCATACATGTATGTATTTTAAGGTGCTCCTGTTCAGAGATTCAAAATATGGGAGGAGAGAATGGAAACTGATACAGATAATCTCAGCTCCTGGTTTACTACCACTGTGATAGTGGGAACTGCTGCTGAAATATAATGTCAGGAGGAAGCAGGTGTAAAATTTGCAGCCCTGCTCTCAGTGTGACAGCTGTTAGCCATCTAAGACCTTGTTGGAGTTAAGAACAAGTTTGAGGAGGAAGAGGGTGTTTGTAAATTGCTCACCAGAGGAAAAAGTGAGGGACTTTTTCAGGCTTTCAGGTGAAACCATGCTTCAATCACTTGGCAAAATAAAAAAATGATTTGTCTGACAGGAGACTAAGTGATTGCGGCTCCAAAGTGTGTTTATTGGTTTCTTCAGATATATTAAACTTCAGTCGCTGTAAACTTAGTTTCTTCTGTGCTCACTCTGTCCGCAAGTACACAAATACAGGCAGCAGCCCCTTATAAGCAGCTATGTATTCAAATTAACACGGCTGCCACTGTGCTCATTTACATCATCAGTGTTGGAAAATATGGCACTGAATTGAAAAATTGCTGCTAGGTGTGTGACAAGATCTCATGCCATGAGATCTTGCAATAATAAAACGTTGTTGCTGATATTGTCAAACGCTGTTTGACAATATTAGTACATAACAGAACCAAAGCAGCAGCCAGTATGATGCAGTGTGTCAATATGTTCTCAATAGTCTGGTAAAAACACAACTCCCTGCTGTGTTTTAACACATGGGGCTGGGTTGGTTTGGGGGTGAGGGGTGAGGGTTCTACCACCAGTGTATCTGCATTGATAGATAAAAAAAACATTGTTTAACAGCTGTAACAAATGAAAATGCATGGTGTGTCATTATGGTGCATTAATTGTGGCCAAAATGTGGCAGTGAATAGCAGTGAATGGTCATGAGAACGAGGTCAATGAAAGAATCCTCTTCCTGTGTGTGTCCATGTCTTGATCGTACCCCATATGCAATTGGTCAAAGCACCCTTGCTGGATGATGTCACTGTCTGGGAGGGTGAAAATAGCATAGACGGTCACACACAGCTTCAACCAGAAGTTCATGCAAAGTTATAGGGTCTGAAGAGACTTCTGAAATCATACAGGAGAAAAGCCAGTCAGTGGAGTTTGTGGCAAAACCTTTTTCAGTGCTTGCAGATTGTTCTGTCTTATACTGCAAATGATAATTCATACTTAGAAATTAGAACTGAAGTGAAGTGTTTGGACCTGGGACAGACACTCTACTTTCTGCTGGCCTTCACAGAGCAAAAACATCTTTTTACCTTTATACCTTTGCCCTACTGTGTGGTCATATGCATGTTTGTTCCAGAAGTTTGATGGAAAATTGAGTCCCTTTCCTCCGTCAGTTATTCAGATGTCTGGAAATGATGGTGAAGGGCATATTCTGCGTCTGGCATCACCACTTAACAGGAGGTGCAGCTGTGGCTCACTGTTAAGGGCAATCTGGAATCAGACCAGAAGTGACAGGTTTAATAAACCATTTTCAGGCACAGTGTCACAGTTCTCTGCAGAAGGAAAGATTTCTCACACTACCTATTTTCTTCTTTTCTTCTTCTGCATGATAGGACCTTATTATATACCTTGATTTTGAAAGTGACAGGGTTTTGAATCAATATACATGGTGGTGGGTCCAAACACT